TTTTTTTGTAGGGATTTTTGTGTCTCTATTTCCTTCAGTTCTGCTCTGATCTTAGTTATTTCTTGTCTTCTGCTTGCTTTTGAGTTCTTTTGATCTTGCTCCTCTAGCTCTTTTAATTTTGACAATAGTGTCTTGATTTTAGATCTTTCCTTGTTTCTCATGTGGGCATTTATTGCTATAAATTTCCCTCTAGACACTGCTTTAAATGTGTCCCAGAGATTCTGGTATGTTGTGTCTTCATTCTTGTTGGTTTCAAAGAACATTTTTATTTCTGCCTTCATTTCATTGTTTATTCATTCGTCATTCAGGAGCAAGTTGTTGAGTTTCCATGTGACTGTGAGGTTTTAAGTGCTTTTCCTAATCCTGAGTTCCAATTTCATTGTGCCGTGGTCTGAGAGAATGTTTGTTATGATTTCCATTCTTTTGCATTTCCTGAGGAGTGATTTGCTTCCAATTATGTGGTCAATTTTAGAGTAAGTACAATGTGGTGCTGAGAAGAATGTGTATTCTGTGGATTTGGGGTGGAGTGTTCTGTTAATGTTTATTATGTGTGTTTGGTCCAAATCTGCGTTCAAGTCCTGGATATCCTTCTTGACTTTCTGTCTCATTGATCTGTCCAATATTGTCAATGGAGTGTTAAAGTCTCCCACTATTATTGTGTGGAAGTCTAAGTCTCTTTGCAGGTCTTTAAGAACTTGCTTTATGTAACTGGGTGCTCCTGCACTGGGTGCATAAATATTTAGGATAGTTAGCCCTTCTTGTTGCACTGATCCTTTTACCATTATATAATGCCCTTCTTTGTCTTTTTTGATCTTTGTTGGTTTAAAGTCCGTTTTATCAGAGACTAGGATTGCTACCCTTGCTTTTTTTTTGCTCTCCGTTTGCTTGGTAAATCTTCTTCCATCCCTTTATTTTGAGTCTATGTGAGTCTTTGCACATGAGATGCGTCACCTGAATACAGTACACCGATGGGTCTTGACTTTTTATCCACTTTTTATCTTTTGATTGGGGTGTTTAGGCCATTTATATTCAAGGTTAATATTGTTATGTTTGAATTTGATCCTGCCATTTTGTTACTGGTGGGCTGTTTCACCCATTAATTGACATGGCTCCTTCATTACATCATCATTCTTTACCACTTGATATGTTTTTGCAGTGGCTGGTACTGGTTGTTCATTTCCCTATTTAGTACTTCCTTCAGCAGCTCCTGTAAGGCAGGTCTTGTAGCGACAAAATCTCTCAGCAATTGCTTGTCTGTAAAAGGTTTTATTTCTGCTTCACTTATGAAGCTTAGTTTGGCCAGATATGAAATTCTGGGTTGAAAGTTCTTTTATTTAAGGATATTGAATATTGGCCTCCATTCTCTTGTAGCTTGCAGGGTTTCTGCTGAGAGATCTGCCGTGAGTCTGATGGTCTTTTCTTCGTGGGTGACTCAACCTTTCTCTCTCGCTGCCCTTAGGATTTTTTTCTTCATTTCAACCCTGGTGAATCTGACAGCTATGTGCCTTGGGGTTGTTCTTCTTGAGGAATATCTTTGTGGTACTCTGTATTTCCTGGATTTGAATGTTGGCCTGCCTTGTTAGGTTGGGAAAGTTCTCTTGGATAATATCTTGAAGAGTGTTTTCCAACTTGGATTCATTCACCCTGTCACATTCAGGTATGCCAATCAAGCGTAGATTAGGTTTTTTCACATAATCTCGTAGTTCTTAGAGGGTTTGTTCATTTCTTTTAACTCTTTTTTCTCTAATCTTGCCTTCTTGTTTTATTTCATTGATTTGATCTTCTATCTCTGATATCCTTTCTTCTTGATCGATTTGGCTGTTGCAACTCGTGTATACCTCAAGAAGTTCTTGTGCTGTGTTTTTCAGCTCCATCAAGTCATTTATGTTCTTCTCTAAGCTGGTTATTTTAATTAGCATTTCGTCTAACCTCTTTTCAAGGTTCTTAGTTTCTTTGCATTGGGTTAAAACATGGTCTTTTAACTCTGAGAAGTTTGTTATTATCCACCTTCTGAAGCCTTGTTTCTGTCAATTCATCAGATTCATTCTCTTTTTTTTGTTCCCTTTATGGTGAGAAGTTGTGATTCCTGGGAGAAGAAGAGGTGTTCTGTTCTTTGATGGTTTCATCCTTTTTGTGATATTTTTTTCCCATCTTCATGAATTTATCTCCCTTTAATCTTTGAAGTTGGTGATTTCAGGAGAAGTCTGAGTGGACTTTTTTTCTGTTGAGGTTGGAGCTGTATCTTTTTTGGCCTGTAGAGGATATTGCTTGGCTCTCTCGGGTTCAGTCAGGTTGCTGGGTGGGTGGTCCTTCCCTGGAGTCTGTTTGCAGGTGAGATTGGCTCCGCCTTCCCAATGGCGTCTCTCCCAGAGCTTGATCTTCCCTGTTGGGGTCAAGCTGGTGTATTTGCTGCCAAGCTCTCTAGCAGGGGCTTCAGTTTGAGTTCTGTGGAGATGGGGCCTGCCAGCCTTATGGTCTGTTTCCCTGCTTTCAACTCTGCCTCCCTCTGTGCAATGGTCCATCCCACTGGTGTTAGCCCAAACTCCCACCCAGGTCCCTGCGACAACTTGCCACACCCCATGGTAGCCACTGCTCAGATTTGCATCGACCACCCATGGTGTCCCACCGTCTGGCAGGGCTCTCGTGGACCGTGGGTTGCAGGAGGGATAAGACAAGCACAGGTTCCGAAATGGAGCACCAAGTGGGTTAAGTCCCCCGACCCTCCAAGCTGGGTGCATATTTCAGGTGGGGACATGCCCCACCCCCCATCTTGATTTGCCCCCCTGGGTGGCTCTCACCCTCAGTTCCTTCCCTGGGCCTAAATTCAGTGCCCTATGAGTCCAACAGAAATGAACCCAGCACCTCGTTTAGAATCATGAAGTCCTCTAGCCCTCTGAGTCTCATTCGCTGGGAGCTGCATTCCGGTGCTGGCTTTGCTTAACTATCTTGGCACCCCATCCCCCGCAAAAAGTTTCATATATTGGTTCCACATTGTAAGTAAGCTTAAGTAGATGGGAAAGGCCACCCTTAAGCGATGTTTCTTTAAGCTGATTTTAAAAACCTTATAAATATATTAAAAATACAAAACAAATATCTGAACATAGCAATTTCTATTAGTATCATCTGCAATTTCATACATTATATGCAATATAAAATGTGCTTTTGAATTCTTTTTGTAAATGTCATACAGTATTATATAATTCAATTTCTAACTATAATTATTTCTCTTGGCATTTAAAAAAATGACAAAATATAGATAAATCCTGTCTTTAGGATCCTCATCTGTCATGTCCCCTTCCTAAAAAGAACTTGTGGAACACTTTCACTAAATCCCCTTAGGTGAAGTCTAGAATGTTCCAGAGTAAATACATTTTTTAGGAACTAAAGAGAGAAACAAATTGTAGAGTCTAACTATAGTAACATGTTCTAGAACACTCTATCAAGTTCAAACAAATCACAATCCACGTTAAAAAAAATCAAAACATTAAGTTATTTTGAAAGTACCAACAAAATTAAAAGATTATATCCTGAGGAACAGGGTTTGTAATGTGATTATTTTAGTATAAAAGGAAGAACCATTATGTTGGAACCTGTGAAATGCATAAAATAGATTTTCAAATATGCTATTTTATTTTCCAGTTTTTTACAAGTACTAATTAGAAAAATTGCAAGGACTGTATGTGTAGTGCCTTTAGATAATTCCAAATCTTGTGGTATCTCTTTTTTTTTCTTAAAATATGGAACGCTTCACGAATCTGTGATATCTCTTTCTTACTTATTATTCCCTCAGCCAGATTACAACTGCTTTAGGGTATAGTATGGAGATTTTCTGCTGATATCAGTAATTGTTATACCTGATTTACAGAATATTATAAAAAAGCAATATGAGGAAATCAAGCAAAATGAAATATATTTACAAGAAAAATAAGTATCAGATATCTTTAAAATACAATCTAGTTGAGATTTACTCATTCAAAATTATTCCCAAGCAAAACATATACTTATTCTTTAATCTTGTTTAGTTACAAACATATTTCCTAATACTAGCCAACTTATAATTACCATTTCAACTAGGGAAATTGGTGAGGAAAGAAGAAACACTGCAGAAATTAATGTTCAGATAATGCTTAATGCTCACTTGGGTCCAGAGTTTAACATTTTGACCAATTTTTTTTAAAGACAAATAATCTATGGAGAAAGGAACTAATGGATTCAAATTTAATCTTTCCAATTTTGTATTTAATCTATTTTAAATTACCATAAGAAGTAATATGACCTTGGGGAGAAGGGGTGAACTACCCAGTCCACAAACTGGATGATCTCTTTCTTAGTAATGAAGAATTCACTGCAGAGCAGGAGCTTAACAAACATCAGCTTCTTTCATATAACAAGTTGTTAAATTTTAAATTCTCTTCAACAATTGTTATCTATAATCTGCTTAAGAATCTATTTATTTCCCCAAATTTTATACCTGTGATTTGTCTGATTACCCCTTTCACAAATGTAAAAGGGACCCCTAAATGCTCAGAGAATGGAAAAATATTCTGCCCTTCTGCACTTACTCTCCATCAGCTGTATTTAATACATCAATTCTGCTATCACTCTGAGGCATTTAATTGTACTGTATACTCCCAGTAAAGTGGGGGAGGAGGGCCTCTCTTTGAGGACCTGAAAACAGAAGTTTCTGTCACAGACTAGATGAAAGCTCTCTATTTTTGTACTATCACTCTTTTTGTCTGTCACTGTAGCTTTTAAAATTTCATGCAAACTGTACTTCCATAAAAATATAATTAAACTGCATTAAGAGACAAAACCAAAAAGAAGCTTCCAATTAACATGTACTAAGTAGTCACAATGTGCTTTATGACCTCTAGGCATTTAACAAACTACTTCATGCCCCATACCAAAGTTTGCAGCAACTTATCACTCAGTACCACATATGCTACTAATTATCCACATTCTTAATAGCATTGTAACTCGCAGAGGAAAAAGTCTCTCACACTGTGCTGGCTCTCAATCTCTTCGTGCTTCTGCTGTAGGGCCTGGGAAGCCCTAATGGAGTCTCCAATGCCCCACTGTGCTCTTAGTTGTTCTGATCCAGGTCCTTCAAGCCAGTTCACAACCTATAAACAAAAGTTGAGACAAAATTTTTAAAGAATCAAAAACTTTTCAAACTTTCATTCTAATTGATTTTTCCCCTCCTCCAATTCCCCAAGTATTTTTAGTGTAAATTATTTACATTCTATCCCATAAGCAGTAAATGTTTCTTTTGGAACTACACAGCTATAATGTGCCAACATTTTAAAAACCTAAATGTAGAAGAATATACACTGTAGCATCACAAGCTTTAGCTACCTGATCATCTGCCAGGCTAAAATTTATGATAATAAGAGAATCAGAGAGCCGTTAAGATTTAGATGATTGGAAGAAGCATCAGAAATGATATCAAAGTTCCTATCTAACATTTAAGAAAACTGAGTTCCAAAGAGATTAAGTGACTTGCCCAAAAGGTCATATAATCTATTACTGAAAAACTGGACTAACAGCCATATGTTCTAACTCACAGTCTAATGTTCTTCTCAAGTACTGAAAAAAACTAAATGAATTAACTACTATAAAGTTAATATACTACTTTCTCAATTCAAAAATAAAATTTAAAACTATTTAGAAGAATTATACTAATGTAATAAATAACACCTTACAGTCCTCTTAGGATTAACATTCAGACCCACAAAGGGTCTCACTGGCACCAGTCTGCTAGTAAGGATATAGGGAGCAAACTATAGTTTGCCAGGATGATAGTGTCAGGGCTGAGTCCCTCAAGCAGGTATAAGGAGATGAGATCAGTATGGGGCAGATATGGGAGACACTCTGGCATCAAAACGTCATACCCAACAGGGCTATGCCCATTTTGAGTCACTAAACTCAAGAACCTCCCCCCACCTCAGTTATGCCTTCTATCATGTATTAATAATTCTCCCAGTCCAGATCTGAAATAATGTTTACTATAAACAATACTGCCGAGTAACAGAGTTGACATTCCAATTTTTAATCAGGTCTTCAGGGGAACAGAGCTAGAAGGTTAAGCAAAGATCGAATTCTTATGCAGAAGAAGAGTATTGTGTTGACACTCTACCAACAATCATACATTCTCCGAAACTACAAACACATTTCGGAGTAATTTTAGTGGAAAAAATGGTATTGCCAAGCTTTACCTGTTGCCAAATTAGAAAAAAGGAATTTACGAATAGATGTATACGATGTATAAGTTATGTCCTAAATCTAAACTTAGAATCACTCCCAATAAGTAAATACGGGTATCTCTGCAGCATAATAATATATAGACGCAGTGGGTAGGCTTAACATAGAACTTTATAAAAGAGTAGTGCAGATGTATAAAGCCGGAGGCGGGTTGGGGGGCAGTGGGGGGGGGGCTATTAGCAGGTTGAAAAATTATATTTCTAAATCTAATAGTCATGTATCTTTTTATAATTATAATAAAGTACCACATCATAAAGAAAATCTACATATGCACTCAGCCTTGTCTGGGTATCCACAGATTTGTATGCCTGAATTTAACCAATCATAGATTGAACATATTTGAGAACTCATACACTCATACACACACACACACACACACACACACACACACAGTACAACAATCTTATTTAAGATACAAATAAAAAGCCAATACAGTATAACAGCTATAGCATTTGCATTGCAGTAGATATAGGTAATCTAGAGATGATTTAATATATATAAGAGGGTATCCATAGGTTAAATGCAAATATTATGCCATTTTACATGAGACTTGAACATCTTTGGATCTAATACCAAGGGACAACTGTATTCTATTTCTTTCCATTAATTTTTCCCATGCATAAGGGTTTTCATATGCTACTCCGGATTTAAGTGTTATAGTGAATTCTCACAGAATACAAGTAGTTTTCATCCTGTTTTTTACTTAACATTAAACTATAATAAACAAGACGCCAACTCACCAAAGAATGCAGTTTCCACATCCTGCTGATTTCATCCCCCTTGCCTTAGCCAATCAAGTAGCCCAGTTTTCCAGCCCCTTACCCTCCATGATCCCTTTAAGAACTCCAAGCCCAGAATTCCTCAAAGAGATGGGTTTGAGGGTCTCCTCCCATTTCCCTGCTCAGTGCCCTGCAGGAATTAACTCTTTCTCGGCCGTATCCCTGCTGTCCGTGTAACTGGTCCCTTACTAGGCAGCAGTCATAGGAACCTCATGGTCCTATGGCAATCCTGGCCGTCCTTCTTCCTGCCACACAGGAGGAGCTCTCCCTCCTTCAATCTCAAGTGAATCCCTTCTATTGTGCTTTGACTCTGTTTAACTATTCCTTCTCTCTTGTGTATTCAACCTCTCCCTCTAAATAGATACATTCCAGTAATCTTTATACCTCTGTGGGTTTTTCATATAATGAAAAGAAAGAACAAACTATACTTGACCCCTCCTATAGGCTCAATTGTGTCTCTCCCCTCAAAAATACATCTGTTGAAGTCCTGACCCCAAGTACCTCAGATTGTAACCATATTTATTAGGAGAGAGGGTCTTTAAAGAGATAATTAACCTAAAATAAGGCATTTAGGGTAGACCCTAATCCAGTATGACTGGTATCCTTATAAGGACAGAAAATCTGAACACAGACACGTACAGAGAGAAGAAAATGTGAAGACAAGGAGAAGATGGCCATCAAGTCAAGGAGAGAGGCTGGAACAGAGCTATCCCTCATGGCCCTCAAAGGAACCAATCCTGCTGACACTCTGATGTCAGAATTGCAAGAAAATAAATTTCTGTTGTTAAACCACCTAGTCTGTTTGCTATGGCAGCCCTTGCAAATGAATACAAACCCTCTTCCACTACTTACAGCTATTACTCTATTTCTCATCTTTTCTTCAGAGACAGATTTATCAACCACCTCTATACTCATTGCTTCCTTCACCACACACCTCCTTTTCATTCCTGGATTCACTCCACTGTTGCTCCTGGCCCTGCCACTCCATGCCCTGTGGTCACCAAAGACCTCAATCTTGTGCTTTCTAATAGACATTTTAAGTCCCTTATTCAACCTTTCAGCAGCATTTGACAGGGCTGTAACTCCTTCCCTGAAATGCTTTCTTCCCTTGGTTTCCATGACAAAGAACTTGTCACATGTTTTCATCTCTGGCCAGTCCTTCACTGCCGCCTTCTCAGGTGTATACTCCTCTAACTTGCCGTTAAATGTGAGAGCTTCTCAAAGCTCAAGTTAAAGCACTCTTCTTACCACTCTCAACTTTCTCTTTGGGCAATTTTTGTTCACATGAATGCTTTTAATTACCATTCACACACAGATGACAAACAAATACATCCCAGGCTAGACTTCAACATCTGAACTTGTTCTGGACTACCCTTCCACATCTTCTCTTGGAAGTCGCAAAGTCACTTCAAACTTAACAAGTCTGAAACCAAACTCATGATTCTCCACACTATTTTGCATCCACAGTAATATCCAAATCTGGCAACACCATTATCTTACAAGACAAGACACCAAGTCTTGCAAGTAAGAAACATGATTCATCTCTAGTATCTTCTCACTCATCCTAATCCTACTCCCATCACTCTCCTTCTTGGCTTGGCATAGTTGCAATTTCACAACTGTTTGTGTCATCATGTAATTATGTGTCATGAAGCAGGGACCTTATTTTTACTCACCATCACATTGCTGAGCCTAGGACAATGTCACACTATTTAAGACATTCGGGTTTTTTTGAATGAATGAATTAACAGATGTTATTAACAGAAGACTCATTATGTGCCAGGCACTAAACATTTTATAAAAATTATCTTAATTCTTGTAATGGTCCTATTAAGTAGGTATTATTGTTGTTGCTGTTGTTGTGGTTACTGTTGTTGTCCTCTGCTTACTGAAGAGACTATGATACAGAAACTAGCACTTTCTTTCTCCCCAAGGTCAAACAGCTTGGAAGTGGTAGAAGAGGGTAGATTCAGATTACTTGGGTTCAGAATCTGATTTTCATAATGCTCTGCTACTCTATCTTTGTGGTTTTCAAAGATAACCTCAAGCTAATTGGCTAAAACTTCCTGAATTTAAAACAAACTCTTTAACTTATGAATGGAGTCCATGGAAAAGGTCACATATAATTAACATATGCTCAGAAATCTTCAGTTTATATGTGGTTATCATGTAATAAATTCTAAATCCAAATTCTAAATCCTTTTGCCTGAAATTCAACATCTTCCATGATCCAACTCCTTCCTACCTTTCAAATCTTTTTTCCCATGACATTCTGATGCTCTAATTTGAGAAGTCATGAACTAGATCAATTATCCAGGCCAATTCTGGCCCACCACTTGTTTTTGTATAATAAATGTTTATTGGAGAATGGCCACACACGTTGGTTTAGACAATGTCTGTATCTGTTCCTGCACTGTAATGCCAAAGTTAAGGAGCTACAGCTGCAAAAAAGACTATGGTCCACAAAATCTAAATGCCTGGAATTTTACAGAAGTTTGCCAGCAGCTACACTAGACCTCTAGAGTTGAGTCTAGTTTAAGACATATAATAATTACCACTGATTGAGAGCTGGGTTCTTTCCAAACACCTGCCTTTCAAAAGAGGTACTATTATTCCTGTTTCAATTAAGCAAAGAAGGCAGAGAAGGAAAGAGACGAAAAGAGGAAGAAAGAAGACAGATCAAGCAAGGCTCTGGTAGGTGAAGTATCATGAATGGTCACACAACTAAGTGGAATAACTGGGATTGAGATCACACTCTATGACTCAAAAAGGCCATCCACTTCCCACTGTGCCTACTGCTTCCTTTTTCCTCAACAGAACTTGGGATTCCACGCTGCTATGATTTACTCACGCTACTCTTCATCCTCCACAAAATTTCAATTCTTTCAAAATCTATCACTGGTGAATCAGATACACTCTAGGAGGACAATCTCAAATGCTACTTCTCCCACGAAGTCTTCACAGATTACCTGCAGCTAGAGAAATAATCCTTCCTTTAAGTGCCCATAACCCCTCAGTCATGTCCTTGTGACCCTTAACACTTTCTCTCTTTAAGCTTATTGACAGTAAAAACCAAATCTACCTTTATAGCCTGTAAAAAACCTACCACAATGCCTTCAACAAAGCAAACACTTAATAAACATTTATCTAATGAGTGAATGAATCTAGATTTAAAAATTAGGATGTTTCCAGTTTGTATTTTTCAATAAAATATTCAAAGATTTATTTTCATATTCAACATAAAAATCCAGAGTGTAATCTAAATAACAGAAATGTCTTCCTTTAGTGTTGTTTTTAGTCTACTTATAAATATCAATTTTAAGGGCCGGGTGTGGTGGTTTACTCCGGAAATCCCAGCACTTTGGGAGGTTAAGGCAGGCAGATCACCTGCGGTCAGGAGTTCGAGACCAGCCTGGCCAGCATGGTGAAACCCTAACTCTACTAAAAATACACACACACAAAAAATCAATTTTAAAAGAAATTAAAATCCTAATAATTAAATACATTTAATATTTTCTATCAGTATCATAAAATTTCAATATTAGGATTATTTGAATTACATGTGTTACTTTGCTAGGATAGAAATACTCTTCACGATGCTTAAATTAACCAAAAAACTAAGTTATTAGAAATTAAGAATGAATCAAATACCAATAATCAAATGTTATTTATTGCAAGAATACATTGATACCACTGATGTTTCCAATGACCAGTTCTTTTTGAAGTTCATTCTGTTACACTAAGCTGAATGCTCAATATCATCACTGAAGAAATATAACTTTAATCCAAATACTATTTGTAAAACAATACACAATTTAAAACAGTTTTAGAATCCAGTTTGATATGTTCTAAGGTTCTCTATATAGTATATATAAGACTTAGTAAAGAGTCAGTCACATAGTAGAAACTATAAGGAATTAAAAAGAGTTAAATATATGCAAATCAGACACCTACCTGCATCACTTTCTGCTGAATCTCTTCTAACTGTGTGCGCTTGCTACGTTGCCTACAAACTTCCTGGTAGCGGGTATATTGCTCTCGGAGTGAATCTAATAACTTCATAACCTGTGGCTGTGCAAGCAGTTCATCATCCATAGGAGACCATGACACCCCTCCATCTGAGCCATTAAATCGACGTTGCTGTAATTCGGATAACAGTTCATGCCCTTTACAAATAAAAGATAGTTGAAATGAATATCTGTAAAAAAATCCAATTCTCACTTCTCAATATTCTCAATTCTCAAAACGTATCTGTCTACCTATATATCTACCAGGTTATAAATGCAATTTAAAAATTTACGTATCACAATAAATATGAAAACTGCATGTATTAATATGTATATGTGTGTATGGGTGTGTAGATATATACTATGTAAACTAGATAGTATATTAAAATGCTATATATCATAAATATACACACCATAGAAATACTATACTACATATTTAAATATGGCATATATATTTTTTCTATCAATCACATTTTTGTTATTGGTGAATTCATTACTCAGGATACTGTGCCAAACAATCTTATTTCCCTGTCAAGCAAAATTATACTGTGGGATTTCTCTCTGATGGTACTAATCCAAGTAATATGTTGTAGGATTTCAGTATTAATCCATATTCTCAATCATAGCACTTAAAGAAAAAGGTGGCAGTATGATGAATGATTAAAGGGAGAAAGTATTTATTACAAGTACAAAATAATATTTATATAAACTCTACAAAAATCTTCACAATATATTAATTGTGAATAATAATGGGCCATACTAGTGTTAGAAATGCAGTGAATGTGACTCAGTTTAGCAAACTCATGGAGAAAATCCACTTATACATGAGAAACTACAATTGTAGAATGTGTAACAACTAAAGCTATAGGTATTAAACAATTTTAAAAGTAAATCAGGTAAAAATTGTTTGTATGACTAATATTTAGGCATCAAAATAATACACATATTTAAATTCTCTTTCTGATTTAGAACAATATCCTAAATTTAAATGGCTTTCAATATACAGCAACTGAACTTTTATTATGGTTTGGAGGTATTTCTAATTTCTAAAAGTTCTCATGATTGGTCTACACCTCTTTCTTTATACTCTTTCAATCCCTGCTTTAAAAGCTAATAGCATATAAAATTGGACCTAGTAGCATATAAAATTAAATTTAAAATACAAATTGTAAAAGCTTCTTAATTCAATGAATTAAAATTAAAAGCTTTCAAAATGTTAAATATATACATATATGGAATTAAGTTTTAAATCTAGAGGAATATTTTTACTGACAGTCTACTGTACCTTCTATATATATATAATAATTCAGAGATTACAAGTATTTCTTTATTCTCTAACAAAATAAGATGAATATCATACTGGAAGAACTTAGGACACCTGAATCAATATAACAAATGTATTCAGAATTTATTTCTTTATTCTTTATTACATTTTATAATTGGAAAATAATAACTGTTTTAGAGGTTTGTGCAAAGTCTTTTTACATATATTCATAAAAGTTATGAATATCAGAATACATTTATTTTGACAACTGTCATCCCTAATATTTTCCTTGTGGATATCATTTCCATTAGAGAAGCAGGACAACATAATGTTTGAAATCAAACTGCCTAGAAAATACTTTGAAATCAAACTGCCTAGGTCCAAGTCTCAACTCCAGCATTTACTAGCTGTGTAACCCGCATGAGTTACTTAACCTTTTTATGCTTCAGCTTCCCCATCTTAAATTGGGGATGACAACGGTACCTATTTCACAGGACCGAAATGAGTTAACATACGTAAACTGCTCAGACAGTACATAGTACACAGTAGGATTAGAATTATGAGCTATTATTTAAAAATGATTAGAAATAAAATGTGGGTATTTCCTCTGGAAAAAATGACAATTTGGTTCTTCTAGAGTTTGTGAAACTGCTACTGGAGATATATGGGTTGGAATATATGTATCAGGCAGCAGTGAGTACTCAATATATGTAGGGCTTTGCAAGGTGATAAGTGTTTTTACATCAATGATTGTAAAACAGTAGAGCTAGTGGCTTTGAATTTAGCAGTGGAGAGAGAGCTTAATAGTTACTTGATCTCAGCAAGTTGTTTTCTATCTCTAAGCCTTAGCTTCCTCCAATACAAAATAGAGAAAATACTACTAATTATCTTAAAGGCTTGTTAGAAGAGTGAAAAATGAAAATACATAAATACAATGTCTGGCACTTAAGGAGTGTTCAATAATTCTCATAGCAATCCAGTGAAATAAAAATTTTTATGTTCGTTTTACAGATAATAAAATAAATCCAAATATTTTAAGAAGAGATCATTATTATTAAGTTTTAAAAATATTATAAGGCTGGGGTTTCCCCCACTCCCACCCTGGGCCACACAGCAGGGTGTGAGTAGCAGGCTAGCAAACATTACTACCTGAGCTCTGCCACCTGTCAAATCAGTGGCAGCATCAGATTCTCACAGCAGCACAAACCCTATAGTGAACTATGCACGCAAGGGATTTAGGTTGCATGCTCCTTATAGGAATCTAATGCCTGATGATCTGAGGTGGAACAGTTTCATCCCGAAACCAGCCCTCACCAAGTCCACAGAAAACCTGACTTCCCTGAAACCAGTCCATGGTCCTGAAAAACTTCCCCTTAAGTTCCTTCCACATGTATCACATTCATGCTGATTAATGTTTATTTAATGAACCAATCAACCCAATTGGTTTGCTGGATTATTATCACAAATATTTTCTAAATTTTACCTGTCTGAAGAACTGTTTCGGGATCAACCGATGGAAGAAAGTTTAAATCCACAGACCTGGAAAACACCAAAGGAGTACTTTTCAAAAGGTATATTTCTATCAGTGTAACTTAAAAAATTCCTTTAAATATGTAAAATCAAAACAGGGCACAAAAATATGAAAATCTGAAGCATAACCATTCTACCATGCTAACTTCTCTCAAGCATAAGGAAGCCCATTAGGGAAAAGTAAATACTAGTAGCCAGAGAAATGCCAAAGTAATAAATAATAAAATATACTACTTGGAAAAATAGTTTATTGTTGTTAATCATAATATGATTTCAATATATCAAAGAAGTCTATCCAATGAATATGTTTCAAAATGAAGTTTGTCATATAGTAATCCAGAAATGTAACATTAAAAAATGCATGCAGCCATCTTCCAGTCAAAATTTTATTTACCTACAGCAATCTTTGACAGCTGTGAATACTCTGTCTTACATTCCAGGGGTGTGTGTGTGTGTGTGTGTGTGTGTATCTGTGTGTCTGTGTGTCTCCCTGTGTCCTAGCAGTTGTACTCTCTTCCCTATTTTAATCATACTTCTTGTGCAACTGGACATCTGCCTTTATTTTCCTAAACACATACAGGAAAGAGAAGATAAGGGAAAGAAAGGGGACAAGGACCTTGCTGCTGTAACTGACCAGTCTTGTGCCAAATTTTTCAGTTTTTATCAATTGATCTAGGCCCTCAGGTCTTGTGTAGCTAGATGCTTCCTGAGAACTGACATAAAGAAGGTTGAAGAAAAAAAAGAAGGTTTATAAAAATTTGCAAGATGAGAGACTCTATTAACTGGGATCTGGGGTTTAAAAGAAACTAAGCAATAATGAGTTCCTTGAGGAGGCACCGGCAAATACAAGATTTTGATATTTCATGTAGTTGTGCAAACCAGCACTTCGCAAAGTATTTCCCAAAACACTGAACAAGGTATGTTTTAAAGAAGCAATTAAACAGGTTTCTTTGCTGCACTGCTTCTTCAGAACCTGAAATCTGCAATATTCACAGTCATTCTCAAAAAAGAAAATATAGTCAACAGCATCAAACTCTTTGACCATGGATTCATTTTCTATAGGCACCAATATGGGATGTCTTTTCCGAGGAATATAACTAAGAAACATCAAATTACTCTGATGGACTATTTAGAAAGCAAGGAAGTCCAGCTAATTTTCATCAAGTAGCTTGTGATATTTTCAATTCCTAAGCCAAAGCACATATGTATGTGATATCTACAAACACACAATCACGTATTTATTTACATATGCCGAATTTTATGATTTTACGTTTTTTTTATGGCATCGGTAGGATCGGAACATTCCTAACTGCTTGTGGCGATTTTAATCAGATTTACATTCAAACCATTTGTTTTCACATTTTGACTTTGTTTTAATGAAGATTTTGTGTAAAAACTATGATCTTACACTGGAAAACTTTATTATGTGAGTATATTTGGAATCATGGAATAACAAAAAGCATTTTATCAAGGTTCCACTGTATCTTCAAGGTCGGATTCAAAGGAGACAGAGGATGAGAGGGAAGACAAGGATTCTTTCACATTTCCTAATGAAAAACTACTATTTTAGTGACGAGTAATAATCAAGTGGCATGAATAGCTAATTTGCTTGCTAAAGTGCTTTTTACCTGAGGAGAGGGACTGGGCCTACGGACAGAAAAGTGAAAGCTGACAAGATTGTAAAGTTCAAGGGAAATCTGTTAACATGATAAATCTAGGTAGTTACATTCAGATAATACAACCCAACTATTACTTCATCTCATGTCATAAAGCACAAAATTCCCCAAGTTTAATTCATGAATATCACATATTTTACAAGGACAGAAAAAGTTCTACAAGCTAGACATTTAAGTGCTAATGTAGTCAAATAAGGTTATAATAACTGTATTTCAGACTGCAACATTTTTCATATTCTTAACCAGCAAAGAAGATAACTCTAAAAGGGTAGAAAATTGTTTCATTTGAAAATAAAAAATAAATTATAAATTAAAAAATGGCTTTTGTGAAAAAACTGATTCACACTAGCATGTTTTACATGTAAAGCAAATTCTCATGAATACTGTATGTCAATTTTGATTGAATGAAGACTTGTTTATTGTAGTTCTTTTAGCTTGCATTAACTACAGAGGTATCTTGTATCAGATTAATTATAGTTTTGCAAGGATATAATTGCATACCAGTAGTCACCTACCTTTCTTTCTCTTGCTGATTTCCTTTATCACTTCCATTGTTAATCAAAGCAAGTTCATCTAACAATGATGTAGATTCCTTTGTAAACTTCTCAAAAACCTACAATATGAGTTTTATTAACATTCTAAGAACAGTCTTAAAAATTAATCTGTAATAAGGACTGTCAGTTAAGAGCAACAGAATTGGGCAGCTGGGATTTGTTTTCCTTCCCCAGTAGCCAGTGCAATTCTACCACCAGAGCACAACAATGTACACAAGAGAAGACAAAACGGTCTCCTAAAGCAATGAGTAGTTTCACGGATAAAGAGTTTTTAAAATTTAAATACATCAATAAATGATCTTCATTCTCCATTCAGATAAATGTTTGAGAAACATTTGTATTGATAACAGTTGTGACTACATAAATGTAATTCCGAACTTTCTAAGTCTCTATAACAGTTATAGAACATTTCTTTACGTTATTCTATCACCAACACATGTTGGTTTCATATAGTTATAATTTTAATGATTTCTTCAAATATTTCTGAAAAGGAATTTGGGAAGTCTGTTTAAACATAAGTAATAAAGTGGACAATCACTTGTCTGATACCACTTTTTAAATATGGTGGAAATAGGCTGGGTGCATTGGCTCAGGCCTGTAATCCCAGTATTTTGTGAGGCCGAGGTAGGGGGTTGCTTGAGCCCAGGAGCTCATGACCAGCCTGGGCAACATGGAGACTTCATCTCCACAAAAAATAAAGCCTTTGTCAGTCAGGCATGGTGACATGCAGTTGCAGTCCCAACTACTTTGAGAGGCTGAGGTGGAAGGATTGCTTGAGCCCAGGAGTTCAAGGTTGCAGTGCACTATGATCACGCCACTGCATTTCAGCTTGAATAAGAGAGCAAGACCCTGTCTCTAAATAAATAAATTGGTGGAAACAGAATTAGTTATCCATTCAGAGATAAACAAAAGTTCACTACTCTATAATAAAATTAGCATTTAATGTAAAATGAGTTAATATGACATTTGTTCTTTCAATAGCAATAAAAAAAATCAAATTACAGAGTAGCAGATTTCAGAAGTCTAGACTGCCGAACATGATATATTTTCACAAATGAAAATGCTTAATCTATCAAACTGCTCTTCAAGTTGATAACTCAAATAAATGTTTAAAGACCCTGTGAAAATGGTATAGCAACTAGATCCCCTCAAGAAATTATGCTACTGTTATTCTACTTAAAATAGTTACAACTTCTACTAATGCTACTAATGACAGAACAGTAATAGCTAATACTTACATAGTGCTACTATATCATGCCTGGTGCTGTTCTAAATGTTTTATGTGTATATTCATTTCACTTTACCCGTAATCACACAAAGGTAGGTACTATGACTTTCACTATATTACAAATGCAGAAATCTAGCCAAGGCAAGATTAAACACATTGTTGAAAACACCTACCAACTGGCATCAGGATTCCAATCAAGTAATTCTAACTTCATAGTATTTGTCTATTATGCCATAATGTGGTATACACATAATTCTCCATTTTTGTAAAAAGAAAAAATATATAATAAATTGATAAAGTTATCAAAATATATCTTATTTATATGCAATAACATTTTATCTCATTGAATATACCAACCAGCCTCTTATTTAACCAGTCCATGTGATCATAGGTAAGACTCCCACCAAAATCTTCTGTTAATTGGCACGGTTCTATATAACGAGTCAATTTGTTGGCAGACACTAAAATAACCTATAAAAAGGGAAAAAGAAAAAAAAATTTAGTAACTCACTATTAAAGTCCATGAAAGTAATGAGTAGGTAAAATTAGTTTAAAATATGCAATATTGTTTCCAACATGATGACACATTATCATTTACTTAATACAATATTTAAAATCAATGCAGTAAGTTACAGATACCTGACAAAAAATAATTCATCAAAACCTTTTTCTAATACCACATTTTTAAAACAACAGGTACCATTAGCTCAGATGAAATATTTTTAAAAATATTTTATCATTGTAAATATTTCGTTGTAAAAAAACTCAATTCCTTAATACAATCATGTAATAAACAAGGAATTTTCACATCATCTTAAAATTAGCAAAGGACACTAAAATGATAAGCCCAAGGAAGAGTAAATCTAGCAATTAAAAAGTTATCCATTTTAATGTTTTTCTAATGTTTCTTTGATTGCATATGAACAAAACAAGTCCTCCAGTTGTAGAGTATAATTCACACTAATTTATGCCAATATTTAATTTTTAATAAAAATCAGGAGATCTGAGTATTTATAAACTTGAAATGTAAATATTAAAATGCTAATCTTTTAACTCTCAACTCAAGATTTCAAATACAAATTAAGTAAGTACCTAAGAGACCACTGTAGAACTAAATAAAATTTCAGTGAAGATACATATGAATATGAAAGAAAATACATCTATGGAAGAAAGATATTCAAACAGTAGTGTTAATACTAAATGATACATGGAAATGTGAATTTATCAAAAATAACTTGATAAGAAAAATAATGTGTCTGGCTAGAAAGAGCATCATTCCCACCCTAACAAAAACAAAAGCCAGACAATCTCCAAGAGTATAACTTTTTTTTGGAACTCCTAAGAAAGCTGAGGTTTCAGGGAAACAAACTAGTTTGAAGTTGAAGAGAAGGCAGGCACCACAGAGAGAATGGTGAAAGGGGAAACTACTGAGTGCATGTGTGAAATTTTTTGGAACTCTTACGTATCTTGATTATGGCAAAGATTATGTGACTATATGTGTTTGACAAATCTCATAAAACTATATATATGTTAAGGTATGAATTTTACTTCAGGTAAATTATACCTCATAAAACTGACTTAAATTTTTTTTTAAACTTAAGAGGACTTGTGGAAGAACTCAGAAAAAGAAAGAGACAAAGAAAACATTTAGAAACAGACACAATATGCAAAACAAGGTACACCCATACTGTATGTGAAGTTATAATATAAATAAAAAATAGGGAGAAATTACCAAGACTGCTTTGCTGAAAGATGGAAAATTTCACCCTCAGGAAGATATCAAAAACGCTGCATGAAAAACTCATACGACTATGAACTCTAACAAATTTGAGTGTCCAACAAATTGCTATTTTTAACAACACATTAAATGGAAATTAGTAGTCTTAAATATTTATATGAGGAAACAAAGCCTAGTGAATAATGAGGTAAGTGATGCATCTAAGAAGTCAGAAGGAAAAGAGTAAGTCCAAAGAAAATAGAATAAGAGGTGAAAAATCAGAAATAAACATAAATGAGGTAAGGGATGCATCTAAGAAGTCAGAAGGAAAAGAATAAGTCCAAAGAAAATAGAAGAGGTGAAAAATCAGAAATAAACATAAATGAGGTAAGTGATCCATCTAAGAAGTTAGAAGGAAAAGAATAAGTCCAAAGAAAATAGAAGAGATGAAAAATCAGAAATAAATATAAATTAAGATATTACAGGGGTTCAAAAAAGCCAAAACTTATTTCCTTCATTAGAAAAGACTAACGAAATCAACAAACTTCTGATATGATGAAGCAAGAAAAACAAAGTACAAATACATAATGGTAACAATGTAAAGGAGAATACAATTCCATTGACAGCAATGGTTTAAAAGATATTAAGGATATAGGACAATTTTGTGCCAATAACTACAAACTTAGAAGAACAGACATATTCCTATTAAAAAGTCTGATTTATCAAAACTGACATAAGAAAAAAAACAACAACAACAACAACAGAACACCTCCAACCAATGAAGTGGATCATTAGATTCTTTACATTTTCAGTAATTGTGCTGATAGTAACCGTTTTAGTATTGCCATCCTGTGATAACTTGATAAGGAACTAAGCCAATGAGCAAACTGGGATATTTTAATTCTGCCATCCCCAACATCCTTAAGAAAATGGGATTTTTGGCAAGGGAGAAAGGAAGATATGAGAGGGAAAAAGCATCCTTGTGCTCATTTTAAATTGGAAGTATCAGTTTAAACGCCACAATGTATTTCATCTTAAATGAACTCTCTCTCTCTCTCTCTCTCTCTCTCTCTCTCTCTCTCTCTCTCTCTCACATACACACACACTCACATGTATGTGTATTTTCTAGTTGTGAGCGGTTTGGAAATAATGACCAATTTTGTAGAAATGTATACTCCTAGCATCCAGATTGTGATCTGAGAGTACCATTTTTCATAAAAAAGAATCAGGTTTTGTTAAAATAGCATTAGTCAAAATAATAATAATAATTTAAAAATAAAATAAAAGGAATCAGGGGTCCTTGGAGAAATGGAGAAATACACATGATGAGTGAGCTTGGAACATCATACCCAGAGATTGAAAAAGCTATCAAAACTGCTATGGTTGTGACAAAAGGACCCAAAAAGGTTTCCACTGGCCAAAGATGTGAGAAGTCATACATCAATAATAACAATAAATGCTACAAATTGAAACATTAAATATGTTTAAATCAACGATTGCATACTGATATAAAAGAAAGAATCACCACTGGACTAAGCTAGAGAATACATTTACTATAATGAAAACCAGACTGGGCACCATGGCTCATGCCTGTAATCTTAGCACTTTGGGAGACAGAGGCAAGAGGATTACTTGAAACCGGGAGTTTAAGACCAGACTGGGCAATGTAAGAAAACCCAATCTCTACCACCTCCCCGCGCCGCCCCCCACCCCGCCACCGACAACAAAAACCAACCAAACAAAACCCAAACAGGTGTGTACTTGTAGTCCTAGCCACTCGGGAAGCTGAAGCAGGAGGACCTCTTGATTCCAGGAGTTAGGCTGCAGGGAGCTATCATTGCATCACTGCACTCCAGCCTGGGCGACAGAGAACCCCACAAAAGAAAGGAAGGAAAGGAAGGGAGGAAGGGAGGAAGGGAGAAAGGGAAGGAGAGAGGGAGGGGAAACCAGCAAATAAAGAGAAACAAGCTTTTATTTCACCTTTTGTATACAAACTGTATTACTGGATAGAGAAATAGTAAGTTTCTCATTATAAAATTATTCCAGCTAGTAAATGAAGAAGGAATAATAGAACTAGATCACCATTTTACAGATTTTAATGAACTAAGAGATCTAGACACTGAACATCACAAAAAAGACAACTATTACAAGTCTCATGATTAAGGAACACATCACTACCCGTCAAGAGCCTTAGAAAAAGAAAAATTAACTCTAAATCGAATCCAGCTATCAATCCATAAAAACATAGAGGTTCAAGAAGACAGAAGAACACGTAAATTATACAACAGGGATACTTGCTGAAATATACAGACTACTGGAAACTGTACAGGGCAAACAGTCTGGTCTCTTCAAAGAAAAAAAAAAAACTTACACAAAATCAGCAATCTGTATTACTGATTTCTAGCTCACTGTAGCCTCTGCCTCCCAGGTTCAAGCAATTCTCCTGTCTCAGCCTCCCAAGTAGCTGGGACTATAGATGCACGCCACTATGCTAAGCTCTTTTTTTTTTTTTTCTTGGTATTTTTAGTAGAGATGGGTTTTTACAATGTTGGCCAGGCTGGTCTCAAATTCCTGACCTCAAGTGATTCTCCCAACTTGGCCTCCTAAGTGCTAGGATTACAGGCATAAGCCACTGTGCCCAGGCCACAACTCCTTTTTGGGATCCACAAAGAGATATTTGCACTAGGGAGATTAAATATAGATTCCAGAGAAGAACTTTTCCTTTCTCCAAAAATGTCAAGCAATATATTAACTAGATATATGACTATATAAACTAAGAATGAAACCAAGTAGCATGTATATATTCTATGAGGAAATAAATTACTTGTTAAGCTGAGCGTGAATTCACATCTGAAAAGATAAAATCCCAGAGCACACTCCCCTGAAATGCAGGCCAGACATGATGGCTCATGTTTGTAATCCCAACACTTTGGGCAGCCAAGGTAAGAGGATTGCTTGAGCCCAGGATTTCAAGACTGCAGTGAGCTACGACTGTGCTACTGCACTCAAATCTGGGGAACAGAGTGAGACTCTGTCTCAAAGAAAACAAAAAGAAAATACAAAATATAAAGATGGTCTTCTTGCTTCTCAATGGAATCTTACTTAACATAATATTCTACTTAAATACTGATGAAAATCTCTCTTTTGAGAAATCCCACTATGATGTCCCTTATTTATTTTTATTTTTAATTTTTCCACAGGTTACTGGGGTACAGTTAGTGTTTAGTTATATGAGTAAGTTCTTTCTTTAGTGGTGATTTGTGAGATTTTGGTGCGCTCATCAACCGAGCAGTATATTCTGTACTGTATTTGCAGTCTTTCACCCCTCGCTCCCCTCCCACCCTTGCCCCAAGTCCCCAAAGTCCACTGTATCATTCTTATGTCTTTGCATCCTCATAGCTCAGTTCCCACGTATCAGTGAGAACATACGATGTTTGGTTTTCTGTTCCTGAATTATTTCACTTAGAACAGTAGTCTCCAATCTCATGCAGGTCACTGCAAATGATGTTAATTTATTCCTTTTTATGGCTGAGTAGTATTCCCTCATATATATATATATATATATATATATATATATATATATCTCATATTCCATCATATATATACTTTATATATATATCATATTCCATCACGTATATATTTTATATATCTCATACTCCATCATATATATTACATATATCTCATACTCCATCATATATTATATATATCATACTCCATTATATACATATATATGTATAATGGAGTACTATTCAGC